TCAATGATTAGGTTAGTGTAGTTTATCACTAGGTGATGTGGTCATTATGATGTTGTGGTGTCTCGAGCAGTTGACAGGAAATTGGGAATTGTTGTTGTGGTCGTATTATGAAGGTTTATGCGTGAATGTCTTATACAATAAACGAATCTGTTGACAGGAAATATAGTTGCCTGTTACTGTGGTATTCTGAGCAGTTGGTCGAAAGTTATGAATTGCATTGATATGGTCATTATGACATCATGTTGTTCTGTGCTGTTGGCCGAACTAGTGGTCGAGGAGGATGCCGATGGTGTTAGGTGTCGAGAGGCGTTTAGGCTGCAAAGTGTGTCGGGGAATATATGTGTTGGATGTCGAGCGTTATTAGGTTGCGAAGCGTGCCGAGGAGAACGGTACTGTTGTCGAGCGGAACGAAGTTGCAGGTTGGGTCGAGGAGTATAAGTTAGTTGTTATTCACCTTAGTTGCTGTGTAAGTTGTTCTGAGTTGAGAAATTGCAGGTTGATGATTTATGTTGAGATGCCTCTAATGATGGGCAAATATTAAGTTGAAGGCTTATGGCCAACGTTGTTTTATGCTGATTTATGTTGAATTATTATTAAGTTGATGGCTTATGTCAATGTTGTTGTGTTTTGTGATTGTTGCTGTGAATTTTGTTGATAATGCGAAGTTGTAGGGAATTTTAAATGACGATGAATTACCTCTATTTACTGGTAATAATGGTGATATAGGTTTATGCCTTACGATGAACGATGATTGTTGTGAGTATGTGACAGTGTATTCATTGAGTCACATACATTTGCATATTTTGCGACGGCCTGGACTAGCAAACTGCAAAGAAGGCTTATGCCTTGTTGATGCCTCTATTAATTGGCAATTTCTAAGATGGAGTTTTGCTCTGTTTTTAAGATGGGAGTTCTGCTCCATTGGTACCACATGCATATGCATAGTAACAAGTTGCATTTCACGTTGCATATTGAGTTGTCGTGTTGATGAATTAATTATTATGTTTCGTTGATGTTTTGTTGTGATTGATGTTGTTTAAAGTTGTGAAGTGGTGATTTTTCATAAACTAATTCTAATGTAATATTATCATACATCTGATTATAATGTTAGATATCTCACTTGTTCTATTTGAATGTTGCCCTCTTTTGGTAACGTGCAGGAAATCAAGAGTGAAGGCGGTTTATCGTCAGTAATTCGAGTCGGTGTCATTGCTCTGATACATAATACTCGGGGGGATGAACGCTTGCTAGTTTATTGTTGTTATTATTTTAGTTGTTGAACTTTAAGTTATTTTCAGTTAATACTTGTTATTTGAAGTTGTTTAGTTGGACAAAGATGATATGTTCTTTTAAGTTAAATATTTGATTCCGCTACGAAGTTATGAAAGTTGTTGATTTTTAAAAGGATTAAATTATGTTGTTGTTGGTTCATCAAAGTTAATGTGTTATGTATCTGCAATGAATGCCGTTTTTTTAAGTTGAAATTTGTAGCATCCTAATTCGGTTGTCGAATTTTATAACTCTGATATATATATATATATATATATATAATTGTCTAGTAGAATTGAGGTGTTACAGAAAGCAAACAAGAGTTGCGTTTAAATCGAAAAAGGTTATTTCAACCTCCAAACCGCTCGAGCTTCTCCATCTAGACTTGTTTAGCCCTTCGCGTACAAGAAGTTTAGGAGGCAACTATTACGAATTTGTGAATGTGGATGACTATTCTAGATTCACTTGGATGTTATTTTTAGCCCATAAGAATGAAACTTTTGAAACTTTCGTTAATTTTGCTAAACTTGTCCAAAATGTTTTTGGTTTGAAAATAACCACTCTCCATAGTGATCATGGTGATGAATTTGTTAACCATCAATTTCAAAAATTTGCACCAAAAATGCGATTGTTCATAAATTCGACAAGATATTATAAATGAGTTACAAGAAAATAACATTTAGAGTTCCCAAAGACAAACTCTATTTTCTACCCAAGTGTTTTCCAATCTCTCAAACTCTCAATATATCAATCACTCAAAATCCAGAGTGTTTAAAAGTATTTTCTAATCCTTCTAGATAATTCTAAACCCTTATTTCTTCCTTTTGCTCTAAAATTGTCACAATGTATTAACAGAAGAGATACATATTTATAATTACTAAAACTCAACAAATCCATAACAAAACCCATTAATTGTTAGAATAAAATATTATAAATATCTTATAATATATTTTTATATTAATTAATATTGTTTCTAAATTAATATATATTCCATATCTAATATTAAATAAACAGATCGACAAACTAAATCGTTCAAATCTGATATCTGCAAACTGTCTAAATCATACATTTTTATTGCTTTTCGGCTTCTTAAATTTTGAAAATCTCGAAAGACATTTTCTTTCTCTGCATCATTTAAAGTTTTAAGCTATACTTCAAACACTTTTAAATATGGTCCATAATTGATATCTAAAATACTTTATAGACTTCAGAACAACGGGTTGCTTGGATCACATATTTGTGGGGCGTCTTAGTGTAGAATAGTTAAAGTTGGCTAACAATTTTATAAAGCACCGTCTTAGTGTAGAATAGTTAAAGTTGGCTAACAATTTTATAAAGCACCTTGTTGCACCGAGGCATACTTATGTCTTTCAGAGGTTGATGTGAGAGGTCCTAGAGCATAGATAAAAAAGTTGAGCATGATAATGTGAGCGTTGTTGTATATATTTTTTGTACTAGTGAAGAATTTTTAAACTCAGTTTGTACACTGTGAAAGCCAGTAGTTTGCGGGTTTAAGGTCCAATAATGCGCTGACGAAAGTGAGCGTTATCCATAGTTAATATTTTCTACAGATAATAAAATTCTCGTTATAATTAAATGTTATAATTTATATGAATAAAAATGGTACGCGAGTCTTGTTTCGGTCTCTCGTTATTATTAATATTAATTTAAATCCAATATTTTCAATTTTCGCGTAAAACAAACCATACACATAGTCTTAGCTACACATAGGAATAACTGATATCGATACTTGATAAAATGATCTTTGTGAGATTCGACAAACATTTATACTAAATCGATAAAGTCGTATATTTAGGACCTATTAGCGTTGTTAAAAAAAATTGTTGTCTTAGCATCTTTGATAATGATTAAAATTTTTGTAAATTATTTAATAAATCAAAATGTTCAAAAAACTATTGACGGATCGATCGGTCAACTCGTTAGCAAATGAGAGGGACTTGACTTTTAAGTTCGAACGTAAATAGCATGGGCCGTCCGCTCTGCCCAAATGAGAATTTCCTTTCAAATGTGAGGTATATATAAAAATTTTGGAGTATTGAGGGGAATTCTTTTCTTGAACTCTTAGGGGGAAAACACAAATGGGCCTCAATTTTGTCGATTATGTCGAGACCATTAGAGCTATTGAAGCCCACACATCAAAAAAATTTATTAAAAAAAAAGCCAAAACTACGATTTTTACGTCTCCACCCATCTCACTGTAGAAGCTTGTTCAACTTCCTGTCTTTAGCGTGGCGCTGTATCCCTCTCTTTACCCATCTGGTTCAAGTTTCTGTGCAATTAGGTGAAGCAAACATGTTTCAAGCATCTCTTTTTCTTCATATAAACTTATTTGTTCACTGCTATCGTATTTTGTTCATTCATTATTGATAAACACTTTTAACGTTGTTTCTCTGCTACTGATTTTGAATTTTGTTATTTGAAATTACTTTAGAGTTGTGATTTATGACAATAGTAGTATAAGTGAATGCTTTGGAATTAATTGATATAATGTCCCTAAGAACTTTTGTTGGGTATCATTAGAAACATGTGGTTGAAGATGCCAGCGTATTGTTTGATATAATGCCTGAAAGAGTTACAATGAATGTGTTAACAGATTTTCTGGGGCGGTGATCATGATTGTGAGACTCTTGTCTGTTTGTTGTTTTCTGTGTAAGATTGTTTATAAGATAGGATTAATCTGAAAGGAGGCATTCATGTCTTTTTAGTTGTTGTTCACATGGGTATTGATGTGAGAAGCGTAAGCATTTGAATGCTTGAGTTTATCATGACACCACTCAGTTTTCATTTTTGTTTTCTTTAGTTCAAATGTGCAAATATTTGGCTAGAAATACGGGTTTTGATATAACATTATAGCGTAGTTTGATTCATGTAGCCGACGTCACTTAGTGGAATAAGACTTGGTTGGTTGGTGCAAGTATTTGGCTAGATTGACATGTGGTTTTTTCCTCTGACTAGAATTTAGTCAACATATGTGTGTAATTTCATCGTTTGTAAAATTTTATATATCTAATGTTTGCTTCAATTAATGCTAATGTGTTTCTATCTCACATACTGTGATGATCGTAACAGTATTCGTTTGATATATTAAAAATAAGAAGTTTAATTACCTATCAGTCGGACAGGTGCCCCGGCAAATACATGAGGAATGGTTATAGGATACATTTTCCTCCTGATATCATTCATCGATGTCTGTTTTCTATTATTAATTGTTGTTTCAAATTTACATAATACATATCTCTAGCTTTAAAGGTTTCTTGTTCATTTAAAGCAAAAAGATCCTAATAATATATCATAGACAATTTCTCTCAATAATTGTGTAAACTCAAATTGTAACTATGTCTAAGGAAATTTAACATTAGATGATATTGCACCTGTAGTACGATGCAAAATATGTAAAGTAAAAGACTGAGAAGTGAGAACCACTTTTCATTGAAATAATTATGTAGACAGTGTAGTGTGTATTGAGCTCCTGGTACTTTGTCCACATCTTAGCTGTAGTCGTTGTCGTGTGTGCGCGTTAGTGTGTGTGATATTTAACACGTCCAAGTCAATTGTTCTACTCAATTGGTAATTCTTCCATATTTTACCTGTGATATTCATGATTTTATGATTTTTTGTTGGCTGACATGTTGTATTTTACATTTATCAGCTTTTCTTGGCTTCGGATCTTTCTGATTTAACCTTACTAATTCTTGATAGAAGAAAGATAAATGGCACATTCAATGAGCTTGATCTCTATCGGCCTCACATTTGATCCGATACCTAAAACTAAAGTCAGTGTGCGTGGAAGGTTAAATCCAAGATCTTCAGCACGGCTTCAAATTCGGGCAGTGCAGGAAAACGGTGGACAACGGAGACTAGTGGACATTATTAGACTCGTGCCTGACCTCTCAAAGAATTACTTTAGAAGTCCCTCCCGCAGAACTTTGTTTGGTGGAATCTCCTTGTTGGGTGGATTTTACGTTGCACAAACGATTTCACTGTCTTTTGGAGCTCTTGGAGTCAATGATGTTATTGCGGCAGTGGTATGTGTTCTCCTTACCGAGTATGTGACTAAGTTCTATTACAGCCGGCCAAAAGTTACTTTCCCTGTTGCTCTCCTCAACAACTTCAAAATGGGCTTCACTTATGGTCTTTTCATTGATGCCTTTAAGCTTGCCAGTTGATCCCAGGCATTGAAATGCAACTCTCCAGATTCTTGCCCACCAAAATTGGTTTGCTTGTGTAAGATCACCAAGCTTGTACATGCTAGAACTGTTTAACATCTAAATGCAACTTCTCAAGAGTCATACATATTTACATGGTAGCTAATGTAGTCTATATCTATCCTCTCATTTGTTTTATATCAGCTGGAATACAGCAATCTAAATATATAAATTATATCAATTATTTCTCCCTAATATTTCTTCTGTTTCCATTTTTAGCAATTTGTTCAACTGATATGGTCTCTTTACAGTTTTTCGTAACTATTAGGTCTAAAAATTTGCACCTCTTTACATCTGTGCCACAAAGTTGTAGTTCTGAGAGAATGATCATCACATTTGAGAGGTTCCTGATTGATAAAACTGAAGAAATGGTTTCTCAGGTGGTGGACCAGAACTGAAATTACTGGGCATCTTTTAGTTGATGTCTCGATACTTTATGCTCACACTCCAATCCGTCTATGATCATGAAAGTCTTCTCGTTACACCCTTTTCACATAACTTAAATACAAGCAAACTAAATTACAATAAATCTATCTTCCCTCACTCGGCCTCTTCCTGGCAGCCTTGCAAATTGCTTTCAATTTGATAAAGCTTAATTATGCATATCAGTTGCAAGATTTAGCCAAGGATTTTTTTTTGCCACTCCAGTCCAGAGTATATTGGACATTCAAAAAATAAGTGAGGTGCGCGTTCGGCCATTCTGCGCTTGAATTGATTCATCAAATCATCTGAACCAATTAAAACCTGCAATATTTTCAAATTTCAGCCAACTTTGAGCTTAAACCTCTCTCAACTCAACATAAACTTTCTCTAATTCACTATGTGTGATACAATTCATCTAATTCCGACTATGTACACAATCTAACCATACAATACAACAATTAGGTATGGCCATCCAAAGCTCATTCTTCAATCATTAATATTGAAAGAGTTAAAATCTAATTTCAACATTCTAACCCTTAAAACTGAATTTCTACCTCTATTCTTGTACTTGCAAAGAGTACAAAATTTGTGCATTACTTGTTATGTACAAGCAAAACCTCAATACTTCTGATATGTGAATAAATTGGTATCTTTGGTGATTCTCCTGTTTTATATTTATAGTAACCATAGTTTTATATTTATAGTTACCATAGTCTTAACTCAACTTTATTCCTTTGGTAGTTATGTATGATGACCTTGCCTATAGATCATGATGTGGCGAGTTGGCCCGTATGAATCAAAGGTCGTTTCAACTAGCCCATGCCAGTTGAAGTATTCTCCTAGACTATGTTTGAATAACATAAAATAAATAGAGCAAAATAGAAGGAAGCGTGATAAAATTAAACGGATTAGAATAGAGATTTCATTCCATCGTTTACATTTTATACGATGGAAAATGGAAAACTCTGCAAGGTTGTGATGAAAGCTCCCTTTCATTCTTCAATGGTGATGATTTGTTGGAAAGTTCATTTCTCCTATCTATGGGTGATGGCAACTATTGTGGATTCGGTTTTTACTTTTCAATCTTAATACAATTTGTATTCATGTTGATTCAGTTGTCCATAGAGACCAAATCACTAAGCTTAACAATAGTTGCAACCTATATAATAAGTTGATACATTCTCCAAACTATATGAATCTCAGCAACAACAAAAAAAGGGTTTTGACATCGAGTTGTAGTGGGAAAAGTAGATGGGGTTCGGAGTATTTATGTATCGCAGCGAGCGGGAGAAGAAGAGGACGAAATTGAGATTTGTGTTTTGTAGCGGCCTAATGAACCTTAATTGTTACACGACCTGACTTGATGTTTGCAGGTCTTGCTAGTCGATACATGTCGGCACCTACTGAAGTCCATTTTTAGGTAGTAAAGAGGATATTTTGATACATTAAAGGTACAATGGAGTTTAAAATATTATACAGACGACGAGTAGATGAAAAGGTGCTATCATACACAGATAGCGACTACGCATGTGATCTACATGATTTCAAAAATATATTAGGTTTTGTTTTTTTAATGTGTGGATGAGCCATTGCCTGGTTTTTGAAAAATAACCCATCGTTGCTCTATCAATCACAGAGGCAGAATACATAGCGGCAGTATCATGTGAAACTCAAGGAATTTGAATGAAAAGAATACTTGACAAGATTGGAAATAATCATCATGATTGTATTCTAATTAGGAGTGTGTTTGCACAAATTTCTGGAAAACAATCTCTAACTTCTTAATTCAACGTTACTTGCAGGATCGACTACAGGAATCTTAAACTTAGTGTTAAGTTTGATATGGTTTTTAGTGTTTGAAATGTGTAAAGACTAAATTGTAAATGAAACAAATAAGCAAAGAACAATTTGCAAGGTAAAACAAACAAACTGGAAACTTGAAAGTAAATTGCTTGGAATTAAAATTGGAAGCATGCATATTATAGTCACCATTTTTGCTATATTCTTTATCATTTGTTTGGCAGTAATCCAGTTAATATATGATACTTTGTTCTTGTTTTGATGAAGTTTGAGTAGTTTCATTGGCCGATTAGTTTATTTAATCGTTTTACTGTTTTTAAGCTTTATTTAAGATTTCTGCATTTTATGCTTTGGTTTGATTCTTTAGTTTTTTCAGGTACAAGTAAAAGATCCAAAAAGACTTGGTGCGAAAAAGTGGAAAATTTTTTGGAATTTCGGAGAAGTTTCTTATCACCTATAGGAGGCCTGCTATGGCCACCCGTAGCACCTGCTACGGGCCGTAGCAGGGAGGAAGTCTCACTCAAGTTTTCAGAAATTAAGTCTTGTTGTGGTACATTACGGGAGGCCTTAGCACCTGCTACGACCCGTAGTACAGGTCCTGGGACTTGAAGTAAAAGTGCAGAGCACAAAAGAGTGCTACGGCCACCCGTAGCACTTGCTACGAGCCGTAGCAGCTCATGATGCTGAGAAGTTCTGCTTTCTTATTTTGTGCCCAAGTGTTGGCCTGCGAGGGTGTTTTGGACATTTCCAACCAATTTTAGTGGATCACTTGTGTCTGAATAGTTTTTGTTATTTAAAAGAGTTTTTACAATGAATGAAGGGACTTTTGACAAAGCAAGAAAGGAAGATCTAAAGGAAGCTTAGAGAGCTCAATACTTTTGGTGAATGCAAATCTTCATGAACAGAAAGGATTGAAGATCCAAATTCCTCGAATTACTTGTAATGTCTAAAATTTCTATTATGTATTCTTTGAACTCTATGAGTAACTAACCCCCCCCCCCCCCCCCAATGTTATGGAGTGTCCCTGATTTAGGATTGTAATGACCATGAATTCTTGTTGACAATATTATTACAGATTTTCTTTATCAATTTATTCTTATGATGTTTTTATGCCTTCTCTGTCGGATAAACAAGAATTGATTTACGATTAAAAATTAGGTTGGACCTTTAGTGTTAATGCTTTTATAAGATTATGCTATTGTAGATATCACCTAGGGCTAGGGATATCCTATAGCAACTGGAATATTCTTGATCATACAAATTGCTTGATTTCATCATAAATTGCTAGGGACTTAGAAAGGATGAACGATCAAAAGTTTTCACACTAAGGATTTATGAAAAAATAAACTAAAGAACCAGTAATTGATTATGTGGAATACGTTGTCTAAATAAGGGTTCAAGGTTATTACATAAACATTCATACACTATCCCTAGCATGTCACTTATATTAATCAAATCCAATCTTATTTCCTATTTGTAAGTGTTTAGTTATTGACATGTATTTTTGGTAAAACCAGGTGTGTGAATGTCATGGCTGATGTCATAACATTCTGGATTATTAGGTACTTTATGCAGAAAAAGTATGGCATACAGTAGCTACTGTTTATGAGTGTGTATCTGAGCATTTTGCAATGATCACATTTATTGCCTTCTACCAAAATCAGTAAACAGGAATTCTGATGTCATAACAAATGTTAAGACATCCTGTACTGATCTAACAGTTATGCAGTTTGGTTAATTCTGAGATTTTTCAGGAAGTTGGTTCATTCTTTCCAGAACAGAATCTCACGTGGACTTTGGGTTAACCTAGCTCAACCCTAATCTGGTTGATAAAGTCTTATGACCTAGTCTTGAGGTTAACCCTAATTAACCCTAGCTTTTCGTGGAAGCCCTAACTGAAGAAACAGCTGCATATATACTTAACATGAATGCTGATTGGAAAGCAACTCTTAGACAAAAGATCAATTAGGAGCTGCATAGTTTTAACTGCTGTAATCCAAGCAAGTATCATTTGTGATAAGTGACTTGGAATAGGTTTTGATTGTAAGGGTTTTTGTATCACTCAAAGCTTTGAAGCAAGAGTGTTTGTGTCTCTTGACTAAAGCTTTGAAGCAAAGTCAAGTTAGGTTTATGTATCACTCAAAGCTGTGAAGCACGAGTGTTTGTGTTACTTGATTAAAAAGCTGTGAAGCATAATCAAGTGTATGTTCTAAAGAGTGTCTTCATTATTTCATTAGTCAATTGTTTAAGTATCACTGCTGTGATTGAGGGGGGGGGGTGAGTAGGAACTCAGGTTTAAGTTAAACTTAGATTGAAGTTGCATTGGGTAGGTCTTAAGTGAAGGAGATAAACTGGTTGGTTTATTCCTGAATTAATATCTCTTATAGTGGATTTCCTCCATGGCTTGGTAGCCCCCAGAGTAGGTGTTGTTTCACACTGAACTGGGTAAACAATTGACTGTGTTCTTTACTGTTTTTATTTACTGTCTTATAGAAAGTCAGATACAGTGTCATAACATTCACTGTGACATTGAGTATCTGCTACCAGAATTTCAATTGGCATCAGAGCAGGCACCCTGCCTGTATTACTGGGTGAGATCTAGGGATATCACTTTCTGGCACTATGGACAAAGAAGGAGTTTTTGGAAACAGACCACCCATTCTGGATGGATCAAATTATGACTACTGGAAACCTCGTATGATTGCCTTCTTAAAATCACTGGACAAAAAGGCTTGGAG